AGTTGTCGATAGCTGGACATGGCTTACATGTTGTTGATTTGGATATTGTGTTGTTGTCGTGAGATCGCTTGACATTGCTTAAATATTGTAAATAGTTTGACATTGTTTAAATGTTGTTGATAGCTTGATTTTGCTTAAATGTTGTTATTTACTCATAGCACATGTGGACTATTTATTATGTTAATATTTTGGCAGTGATTATGAGATTTCAAAGTAAGTTGAAAACACTTTAATTTTGTCGTTCTTTTCAGATTGTGAACATATTTTGGTGAAATAATATTTGATTCATATTTTTAATATATTCATTTATTATGATACACAGTACACTCAAGAAAATATTTATTTTCAGGAAGCTAAAGTTTAGAGATGGGTCCACTACAACTCTAGTAGAGTCGTGATGGGTGGTTAAGGAAACTGGTTGCGTACATATTGTACAGGAGTGTCCATTTCCTTGTTGATGTAAGGGATGAATTCCCTAATGATTTGCATTGTATTGAGTTACAGAGTTGTGTACTCTGTCATAGAGTTGTATGGTTTATCTCTTTTATGAGATCATTGATTGGTATTATTGGTTTTAAATGCTTCCTTGCATTATGGGCACATGTATTACCATATGTCGAGTTATACTTCCATTTTTGGGATACCAAATAGGTCTCTCGGGATGGGGTGTGACAGTCTTGTTAAAAGTCCACACCTTCTTGAGATCCTCCATATTGACAGATTGTTTTGAGACTCTCCTTTTCACAAGTTCTCCTACTCATTATTGGAAAAAGAAGGCAAATAGAGAGTACCAATATTTAAAAGAAAAAAAAAACAAGAGAAGAAATTAACTTAAATGTTTAAGGGAATACCTAGAGTACCACCCTCATAGGGGCATAGATAGTCAAGCACTCCCCCAGCCTTGTGTTCTCCATTCTCATAAACAAACACTATGTCTGTTTCATGGTTCTTGTTGAAATTAGGAAAGTGAGTGATGAGGTAGTGACTCTTGCACCTAACCGCCAAGTAGTAATTGTTATTGCCAACAAGCTTGATGATGTGGCAATACAAATCTCCCAAAGACCAAGATTAGTGCCAAGGAGATTATTCAAAGCCACAACTCTCATTAATATTCGAAAAAAGTTGGGACAAATGCAAAAGGATCCCTGAGAAGGAGGGGATGAAGAGGAAAATGAACTCCACCTTCGGTGATGGAAATCGTGTACAGAGGGATAGACTCCCTAGAACCAATAAGAGCCTCATTGGCCCTAGGTAGCCTAATCTCCACATCATTGAGGATACTCTAAGAAGCCTTAAAAGCAGGAATATCCTTTTTTATAAGGGGAGCCATTGGAAATTAGAAAGAAATTGCAGAGAATGAAGTGAGCTCTGAAAAGCCTCTATGGAGAAAGTGGAAATGAAAAGGAAAGAGACGACCTTTAAAAAGGAAAGCAAAGGCACCAAGAGAAACAAAGCCTACAATCGAAGGGACACTAGCATTAAATGAAGTAAGGCATTATGCATAAAGGAAGACATGCACAATGTCTTTTTGCGGGAAACCAAGCAATTTATTAAATATGGTAATGATAAAATGTCAAAGAACATCAGCCGACGTGTGCCATGTGGCAGACATCTCCTGTGAGGCAAGTGAAGGGGCATAATATGACTATGCATTATTGATCTTGTTAATGAAGCAACATGTCCCAAAAGCGCGTGACAAAAAGCACATGTGAAAGGCATGTGGGGAATTAGTCTCTATTATAATCAACCGAGCAAATGGTTGAAGTGTTCGACTGAATAGGCCGAACTGTTAATATGACCTAATTGGAAGTAAGACCAAGCAGAGCTCACTAATAGTATTTTGAACGGAGATCCTTCAATGAGTGAGATAGCTAGGCTATCCCATTTAATCAGGGTTGGAGTTGAGCCTACAATAATTTTACCTAAATCATAGGTGAACATTATCATCATGTCCTAACAAATAAGCAAACAAGGAAGAAGTTTGGGAGAAATCTTAGCATTTGAAGGAGTTTGACTGAAAATTATGTATGCCACCTAATATAGCCAATTGTGAAAATCTTGGCAAAGAAATTGCCGCACAACCCTATAAATATGGGTTATGCTTGAGTCAAAGGTACGTATTTAATTTTCGATAATTTTCTTTGTTTAGTTTCAAAACCCTTGCTAGTTTAAGTATTAAAGTGCCTCCGACTGACCTACCCCCAATCTCTAACGGTTTGCTTATTTTGCAGTAGGAATAGTGCAATCCCAGTTCGCCTTTTCTCAGTCAAACTTAAATTAGAAAGTAAGAGATTTTTTTCTCTTATAGAGTCGATAAAAAAATATTTAATTCTGAAAGAACTCATTTGATATATTATGTAAATAAATTATATATAATTTTATATATTTACAATACCAATTAAACTTGTTATTCGTGTCTAACCTCAATTTGATATATTTATTATTCATGTTTATCCGTCGTGTCATTTTCTTTTCGTATCGTGTCATATTAATGTTAATAGGTAAAATTGACACCTGGGTATTACCATGGCCTCTACTGATACTCATATAAAATCGACTTGGAATACAATCCCATATGTTTTCTAGAGTTGAGTCTAGCTAGTCCCATGTTATTTTACCGGGCACTAGAACTTTAGAGATAACATGAAAGCTGAGAGAAGGAAAGATGAACCTTCAAATTTTAAGGCAGAAATAGTGTATGGTATTCAATGGTAGTCCATGGCGTATAGTTACTCTAATAATGTCATTTTGATTTAATTTCTTGATTTAATTCATTGTAATTCTCGAATTATCTAAATCGATATATGAATATACTGTCAATCCAATTATAATGAATAATTAATAATGTCCGACTAATATTACTCTTCAGTCTTCAGTCTAGATGCCAATCTTATCAAAACATGGAAGCTGGCAGTGAATACCGAAGTGTATGAGTAAATGTGTTATGAGGGTGGGTCCTATTTATAGAATGTACTTCATATACATGAAAGATTTCTTTGGACTTGATTCTAATTTCCAAGTTTAGTTACCTAAAGAAGATAAGAAGAGGGGAATAGAAGAAAGATATGATCATTCTTTGCTTGCTCCACATAAAAATATGTAAACGAAGAGCAACCCTTATGGTCCCAGTAGTTCTCTCTCTCCCTAATGTTCCACTTAGGTTCAATTCTCAGCGCCAGTTCAACACAAACTGCCTCTCCCCTTAGATAGAGAAACTTTAATGCACAGGGTTGATTCGAGATAGTTAGAGGCCAAAATCGATACATGTAAATGGAACTTTATGTATTTTTAATTAAAATTTATTCCTCTTGTTGCTAATTTTTATTGTGACTTGGTCGATCTTAAGTAGAATTTTATCCAGTTTAATTCTAAAAAACTTCTACTGCAAAATTAATAATTAAAAGTAATGTTAACAATATACTATAATCACTGTATGCATTTGTAATTAATCTAATATTTTTATATAATTCAATAACTTAATTAACAATAGGTTACTCGAATGCGCGCGCGCGCGCGCACACACAGAGGAAGAAAGAGAGAGACAGAGAAATTGGTTGATGGTTATTCTCAATTCTTGGTGATTTCACATAACAAATATGATTGTTCTTTTTGACCTAGCTTCAAATTTTATTTTATTTTTATCTGGACTTGGACTTTTATGAGAGGATTTTCTTGAAACTTAGGCTTTTGCAAAGTCAAATTTTAATCCAGGATATATTTTAGATGTACAAAAATTAGGACATTTTTTTAAAAATTGGAACTTAAAGTAATGACTTTCATGGTCTAGTGAACCAACCAGCTCTATTAATGTATTTTCAGTGTCGAAAGAAGAAATTATGACGAGTCAATGCTAAATTTTAGGCCCGCAAATAGTGTCGAATAGAACGATTTCGTGTCGAGTGGAACGTATTTATGTCAAAAAATCCTCCATTCAACCTCATCCATTTATATAAACGAGTTTAACTATTACACTCATACACAAATTATTTATTAGACGAATTACCCAATACAATCCCGTGTGTTACCCGCTAAATAAAGGAATAGATTAAAGTATTTTGAGTCTACACAAAAAATCATCAACTCGTCACATATTACACATGTTTGACATGTTTACTATAATAATAAATCACGACTGAACAAAAAAATTAACATTAAATGACTATTAAATTTGAATGCGTCTGAGAAATAGAAGGTGTGAGATAAGGCAAAAGCTGAGAGACATAAATTTTTTTAAACAAAATTTATAGTACTACTGTTAACGGGGTAAACGAGTTGAAACAAGTTTATGGGTTAAACACAAAATCGATTCATTTATTTCACGGGTCTACCGAATTAACCCATTAACCACTCGAACCCGTTAAGACTACACCTAAACCTGTTAAATCCGTGTTAGGTTCGTATCGATTTTACAAGTCGTGTCTAAAATTGTCAGCCCTAGTAAATTTGTCTTCTCGAAGAAAGCATATTGCTTTTAAGTTGAATTTTTAAATCTTAGTTGACTACTCTGAAAACCAAACACTTTTCCTATAATAGAAGAAAATTTAACCAAAATACCCATAGTGACATATTACTATATATCCTTAACTTTTCATTTACCACCTCATTATCGTCTGAATTTGGCAATATCACCACTTCATATAGATCATTCATATTACCAAAACACAAGTTTCTCACACTGCTAAACCCAATCTGCCATTAGATGTTGAACACCTCGTCTGAAAACAATAATCCCTCAACTATGTTAATTGGTTTTTCATCGTCTATCTATCGTACAATGCATTTGGTTACTTCATCAAGCCAACTGGAAACACAGCAAAGAAGCACTACAGCACTACAGCACTACAGCACTGCCATTAGGCACCAAATTTAGAAAAATCTTTGTTACACTATATGAGTCGGTCAAAATTATGAAAGCAGCAATGCAAAATACCACTGTATCTTCAAGGTAATAACGGTGGGTGGGGAACTTCTTATTTTTTATTCAAGATATAGGATTACTCCTCACAACATACATATCTCGTATAATTTACATGAACATTTCACTGTCTATCATATGATTATTACATCTGTATCTGCTTTATGCTATACATATATAATAAAAAACGGTTGCAAGAAACCTGAAAACTTGCCCATGACATTTGAGTAATATTCTTCTGGTACCAATGCTCCATCTGCTAGGAAAGCTGCTGAATAATGTTATAACACTCCCTAATCAGATACCAAGATCAAACGAAGGAGAGCCCAGAATACCAAGACTTTGGGGAATTGGCTCAGAATTCATAATTTTGATATTCATTGACAACTCTGATTTTACTCTTAGTAGTTTGGCAGCTTGTTCCTCCACTGCATCAAGATCAATACCTCCATAAAACTGATCATCGTCAAGCACATTCACATTTGCTTCAGTTCTCTCTACTTGACCCTGAAAGAATGAGTCTATGCCTGCAGCTTCAGAGTGAAACCTGAATTCCTGCTCTAAGTTAACTGCAGGAATAGACGCAGTTTGATAGAAGCTCAATTTTCTTTTTCGACTTTCTATCTTGCTTTCTTTCTCTTTTGGGACACTAAGAGGTATGCTGCTTGTGTTTGGCATGGCCTCTAGTGTGACCCTCTCGGGATTCAGTTGAAAGGATGATGAATTTCTATCAGAAGACCCTACACCAAATTGATGTGATTGGAGAGAATGATTTGTGGTTCCTGATGAGCTCCCACTTTCATATATCCGTGTCTTACAAACCACAGAATCAGGACTATCTGTGAAAATGTTTGCCAGCCTATCTACAGGTGATTGAGTAAGTAAAGAATGCCTGTAGTAAACAATTAGCTAGTTTAAACAAGAGAAATTCATTGCACCTTAACCATATATTACGACGTAAATATATACAATAAATTCCGATAAGTTTGGAAGCAGAATGAAAGAAAAGAGGACTTCAGAACGTAACTAAAGTTCTTAAATGGACCAAAATTCACACGATCCATCAAATTGAGAGTAAGGCGTCTCCAACTATTAATGATGCAATTTACTCTGATTACTACTTGAAGACAGCTCCACTCATGCTTAAGTAGAAATAGAATTTCCTCAGAAGGACAAAAACCATAGAAAATGTGTTCCCATACCTCCCCCTTCAACCTCATTGAAAATGTGCTAATCTATAGTTCTCTCTTATCCGTATAAAGTGCAAATGTAAAATGAAAGATAAGAGAATTCTCATTGCAAAGATGCCGTATTTTTTATTTTACAATTTTGCAATTGGTAATGTTGATTATTTTGGTTTCTGGGCTCTCGTTTGGATATAGTTTGAAAATAACTTGGATATAGTCCATGTCCTCTATGCCTCTTTAGTTGCAAGATGGCAGTAAATCATTTTTTAACTGAAAAGAACTTCTACCAACAGTAACTCCCTGCTTGACCATTTTCATTTCCAACTGAAAATCCCATCCGAATCACCTAAATATTTTATTTTCTAGACAAAAAGTTATATCAAGCTCTTGCCTCTAACTCCTAGTCCATACAACTCTAAATCACCTCATTAAATCCAAAACTCCATTTTTATTTCCTGGAATCTCATAAAACAAAGGCTAAATTGAATGAAAAGCCAGGTACTTCAATTGCAGATAGAGCTATTTGAGGCACAAGGTGCACTAAGGTGCCGAGGTCTGTGGGACCTTGGCATGAGGCACAAGCCGTGGGCCTTGTCAAAGTGAGGATATTGTAGATAACATGCACATAATTTTTCCATCAGTGAAAATTTGCAGCAATGTGATAATATGATCACATAAATATCAAATGCATTTCACAAAATTCTAAGAATTCACAGTTTGCAATGTCAAATTAAGCAAATTAGCAGACATTGGCAAACAGATGGGAAAAATGGTTTGATTCTTGCCCAAGGACCAAAAGAAAGAAGAAATGTTTTTCATGGCGGTGGGCCTAGGCTCAAATAGAGGAAACATTTGGGCCTAGGCCTTTCTCCTCTTCATATTCCCCCTTTCTCCTCTTCTTTTTTTCTTCATTTTTCACTCTTTATACATCATTTGAGGTCTGGGAGACTGTAGACCTTTTATTTCATGCTTGCCCAAGGACCAAAAGAAAGAATTGTTTTTAATAAAGAATAGGAAGGTTTTTCATCTTATTGTTAGTAAGTTGGGCATGAGAGATATCTATATTCCAACTTAAGGGGGAGTGTTAAGTGATGTCTATGAGGGGTATTTATGTACTTTAAGTCTTATTATTATAAATACATGACTACATGAGGCAAAGGAAGATAACCAAATTCTTTGACTAGCTCTCACTATTGTCATAAATGTATTCGCTTTCTCTCTACTTTCTTCTCCTCTCTCTTTCATAATGTAATTGTTTTCCTTTAAATGTTAAAATTACGCGAATGTTATAACTTAACAGGATATTTTGCCTAGTGTTATCAAAGTCAGGCTTGGGCATGGTCCGGGGTGTAATGCACAGCCACGCGTGTACGATGCGCCTCAAATTGTCCTAAGCTAGGTGAGTTCATTGAAGTAGGCTTACCACCCTAGATGCACATATTTTGGCTGCAATCAAGACACTTGAGGCATCACCAAGGAATTCTCACTCCAACAATCTTCTGAATTTTTAGAGGTCTCTGGATGAGGACTTCCAGTCAAATATTTGACTTTCCGTTTAGCATGCCAAAATATTTAATAGCATGGGACCAAGAATAATAATTGGTGTCATTCAACATCACAGAAGTAATTTGTCGAATCTGATCATCTATGAAATAAACCTAGCAGACCAAATCCATTGATGAATCCTTTATCTCATCCAAAATCGCCATAATAAGAAAACACAATCACTACACAACAATCCACAACTAGCAATAACCACACAAAGGCCGAAAAACAGAGAATACACCACCAAAAGGCTTAAAGGAACAATTCTGCATCAAAAACCAGTCAACTATGCACAACAACTCACTGGAAGTCTACCCGGTGGCTGAAAACACACCACAAGACCTCAAACTCACCAAGAACCCCAAAAATCAAACTAGAATCACTGCCCTGGTAGAAACCCAAGCAGTGGAGAGCATCCCAGAGGCTGGCCGACACTCCTGTTGGCCCCAAAATGTCGAAACCACCCACAAACAGCTGGGTATCAATCAACAACCAAGCACAAGTTTCAGTCAAACCTTTCTGGTACAAATCGAAGCAAAGAAACCCCCAGATCTGGCCAAAATCAGCGGATCAAACCATTCAACCCTATTTTGTCAAAAAACATTCAAAAATTGCAAACCATATTCAGATGAAATTTCGAGTCTAGAGGTTGTGGTCTGGTATCCATACGATGATGCTGTCAGCATAACATTATCTCAGCGTGTCAGCGAACAGGGAAAATTCTCGAGTTCTTCTACGATGTTTTTCTGACAGTAAGTAATGTCAGATTAGTGCTCTGATACCAAGTTGAAATTTTAAAGATGGTATCATGGTTTGTAAGAGAGAAGAAGAATGAGAGATAAGAGGAAGAGAGAAAGAGAGAAAGAGAATAATCTGTGTATAGGCTGTGTTCCCCTACACTCTTATTTATATTGAACACTATCTTGGATAATTACACTATTACCCTACATAAATATAAAACATAAAAATAAGAATTCTAACATCTATATAAGTTGTAATCTTCTTGATCATGAGTTAACATAGATGGAAACCACAACTAAATACATCTTTCTTACAATGCGTAACCAACTAAAGAGAACAATGAAAAATACAACCACAAAGCAAAATGATGCAGAGAAGTTTATCAGAAACCTGTAAACTGCCATCATGTCACTCCTACTGGCGTTAGCTTGAGAACTTGCTGATGTAGGATCTATCGTGTCATCTATGAAACTATCCTCATAAGAATTATTGTCCAGCTCATCTCTCTCGTCATCAGATATCGAAACTTCCGAAGATACCCTGAAAATTAACAAATTATCAACAAATTGAGATTCTGCAAAAAAAAAATTAACACCTTTATCATTATAACTATTGCTATTATTATTATTTACAATTATTATTATCATCATAAACGTCAGTATTGTCATTATCATTATTATTTGTAATTATTGTCGTTTTTGTGGTTATTACTACCAACACTATATTTTGCTGATCGAGATGTATTTCCATTGTGCTTGTTTGCCGAATAGGAAGCCTGGCCAAGAGATCTGATTCACCTTAGGCCTAGTTCATGTGAGCTGGGGTTTCCTACGAATACAAATTAGCTCTGAATTATCAGATTTAGCATGCATCTGGAACTAGTGAATCACAACTCTACTATACCAATTTCACTGCACATGTTTTTTGCAGTATAAATGCTATTTGTTGGTTGTTTCAACTGTCATAAGCATTTTCATCTTGTCTGCTTTTTTACTGAATAAAGTTTGTCCACTGTGCTAGCACAAATCAAATTACTTGACTGCATGTAATAGTCAATAAAATAAGTATGTACTTACTCAGCTTCCTCTTCTATAAATACTCTCGCATCTTTTACCAGCTTCTTCTCACCTGAGTGCACAGCATAGAACGAGTAATGCCAAATGTTCAATCAAGGAAATTTGATTCCTAAACGACTTGAAATTCTAAGCGGCAACATAATATTAGGCTTTCATTTATACCTAAAAAAATAGACAGATACCAAATTCCTCACATTGGTTATAAGTACTTATCCAAGTACAAATTTCACTTTACCTCTTCTATGTTCAACAGCAACATGACTGGCATTGGCACAAGATGTCAGAGTTGCTGTAGGGTCAATGTTTTGTTCTTCCCCGACTTTTGGAGGCCTTTTGTGAAGATTTCCAAACTTCCGCAATCTTTTAAACTTCCGTTTCTGTTCAACACCTTCTGAATTGCCTCCAGAACTCAAACGCCAGTCTTTGCTAGAGTAATTGTTTGACAGATTTGCCAAAGGTATATGAATTTCTTCAACATCTTGAACAGCCAACATGCATCCCCTTGGGGGACTATTGTTCACATTGGGTACATGAGGTCGAATTTCAATGTTATCAGATGAAGCCTGGAAATCTCTTCTTCTAGCCGAACGTTCATTTGCTACCTTTCCATTGTGCTTTGAAACTGAAGTCTTCAATGACAGTCCAGTATCTAATTTAAGAGGTGAAACAAGATCTGAAACCATGAATTCATCTCTCCCTTTACCCTTTGATATTTCTGCAATATCCAAAAAAATTTCAGCAGTTTATATATTACTGCTGAGTGACACGGATGCGATAAACAGTTTTAAAATTGGGAAATCAGACATGCACAAATCATAAAATTTCATGGAAAAATACTGACCAGAATCAACGATAGGAGACTCTGGAACAATACCACTCTTGATAAAATTAGTTAGACGAGGACTAAGCTCAATATCTCTAAAATCATTGCTAACCTCTTCAGCTAACAGCATTGTTGATTTGTTTTCCACAACATTAGGCATCCCACCATTGCTATCTCCTTCACTTGGCAAATTACCTTGAGGAACTGGAGTCTGAATAATTCTCTCAGCCCCAGCAAGTGTTTCTTCTTGCTGGGCACCAGGGTTGCATAATCCAGGTGTTGGTAGATTCTTAGTTTCAGTTCTTTCCTGAGAAGTAGAAACATAGTTTCCTCCCATAGTTGTTTCTTTGCACTTTTCAGGCAAAGCCCTAGAATGAAAAGAATCTTGCTTCAAACAGCCTAGCAACAGTGTGCTGCTTGCACTAGTACCTTTGGAATCACAAAATTCTTTCAGAGGAACTAGCGGTACAGATACAATGAGGACCCTCCCAATAGCATCAACTGACACAAAATCTGACCCAAATAGATAAGAGTGGATGGGTGGACTCCGGTCTTGAAATTTTAGTGAACACTGCTGCTCCTCAGTTCTTGAAGCCTTCATAGGTGACACGTCAGATTTCCGTATTTTTCTTCTTGAACTCTCCTCAAGTGAATCATGAAAAGTCTCTAAGTCTGAAACAAGATTTTGAGGAGTAAGAAATCAGAATGCGCCTGAAAATCAGTGGTGTAATATACATATTCTAGATATCTACTGTTGCAAAGAATTTGGGGTGAAAGATGGCAAGAGATACGTTTTATGTTGAATCCTCCCCCCACCCCCTAAAAAGGAAAGGAAACAGAAAAAAGGTTTGCTACACTATATTGAAAGGTTTTCGAATTTGAACATGTCAGACCAAGCAAAAGCCCTGGAATGTAAAACACTGCCAGGAAAGTTGCCATTATAGAATTCTTGAAAAACTAAACACTCAAACACCTTGACTTTCAAACTAAATATCCAATAACGGTATTTATTTAAGTATCCACCTCAAAAAATATTGGTAACGAGTGGAGAGGCCCACAAGGGCCCTATACTAGTTCAGGAGGCGCTATTGGAACATTGTGATTCAAGCTCTAACACTCCCGCGAACACTTAGACCCCACTCACACGTAGAGAGGCAGAAAAAATACCAAATTGACATAACCAGAAACAGGATGCACATATGGCACGAGTATAGGGGTAACCAATATCAAATAAATGAAATGGAAATAAATAGTCTTGTCCTAAGTCTCCCAAAGCCAGCTCTAATTCAATGTTAAAGCGTTGAGCTCAAAATAGAGCCCAAGTTCCACGTGAGGGAGGGTGTAAAGAAATCTTGTATCCCACATTGAATGCTTAGGACAACCTAAGATTAGTTTACATACTTGACAGAACTGTGTCTTAGGTGATCAGTGAACCAAGTCTCTTGCCCAATTGAATTTTTTGATATGCATGACCATTTGTTTGTTTGTTAGCCCCACATACAAGCCCTGGTCCCATGTGAGAGAGGATGTAGATCTTGCATCACACATCGAATGATTAGTACCACCCGAGGTTGGTTTATATACTTGAGATCCACTTCACTAATTGTCAATTGGTTTTGAGTTGGATGATCTAACGATGTTGGACAAGTTCTAACACACACAATTGGATACAGGGAGTTAGACTGGGTAATGCGAATGAAACACAACTCTGCAAAATGATGAAATACTCGTTTCAGAGGACAAGAAATATGTGCTCCAAATGTTACAAATTCAGAAAAGGGTGAAAGTTTGATTACGATATAACAATCAGCCTTCAAAACATGATCATGCTTACAGTTCTACAGTGAAATAGAAAATAAGGGGTGATGCTGTGATGAGCTTGGATTTTTGAATTGGACTTTTTCCCTTCTTTTGCCAAGAACCAAGAATGGTGAGCAGGATTAGAGAATAGGTTACAATGGTGACTAGGAGTGTAAAATCAAGCCAAGCAGCTTCAGCTCAACTCATTGAAAACTTGTTCAGGCTCACTGGAAAGGTCCAACAAGCTGAGCTCAAGCCTGAATTTGCCACATGTTTACTTCGATATATTCCAGCAGAGTCATGAGTAGTCAAAAAATATGAATTTTGTCGTTGATTCAGTTAAATCTGTTGAACATGTCAGTGACATGACAACTTGCTTTTCCATCTCTTAGCTTGTAGCATGACCTAAGTAGCCACATTTTTTATCTAGATAGATTAAAATAATCTCAATTCATTAAAACATGAAATAAAAACTGTTGAACAAACATCTACTCGAAAAGCTTAACATGTTAGATAATGTGTAACTTAAGTATTATACTTCAGCATGCCCCCTCACGTTCACGCTAAATTTTGGGTCTAACGCATGGAAATCTTTTAATTAACTGGGTGCTAGTGAGATTCGAACACAGGCCATCTAGCTTTGATACCATGTAAAACAACCATCTCCTCTAAATGCTTAAGTTGTTAGATAGGGGGTAGCTTAAGTATTTGTACTTTAATAAAAGCAAAACATTCACTATAATAAGCAAGTCTGAGTGACAATCTTCTTAAATGAAATCCGCACAAAGCTTGAACATTACCCGAGTGTTATGAAGCTGAGCCCCAAGGGCCACGTTCAAGGCCCAGCTTGGCTCATTTACACTGCTGCAGTGACTTAAGTGTTTTCAAGGAACTACAGTATAACATGTGGAGAACTCAAAAATTCATTTTAGCCCTTCTATTACTACTGCAGATTATCACAAATTATACAAAGCTGCTTGTTACTCAACTAACTTCAAAACCTTAAAATTTTGCAAAACAAAAAAAGAAGACATGAATGGGGAACTCAATCAAGTCATGCAGGAAAGCACACATCGAAGAATGATTGAGATATTAAACAATGAAAAAAGGCACAAAACTTTTTAAATTGAAAGCAAGAAGTTGTTCAGTAAAGACTGAACAATAAGTCGGTACACCAAAAAAAAAAGTTCAATGACAATGACTTCCTCATGGACGGTCCATATAATGACTAGACCCCCACATGGATGACAAATTACCTCGTGCTCCGTGGTCAATACGCTCTGAAAGGAATCATATAATAAATGCAACGGAATTTTAAAAAAAATAATAATTTGATTCCTCATACCAAAATCTCTTCATGTTTAATACAAACTGTGAAACCTTAACAACCTTCAAACATTCTCAAAAACTTTAAATATGCAAATCTAAATTTGATCTTTACCCCAAACCTCGCGGCCTCTATCGGTATTCACATGAATTGATAAACTTGAAGGATCTACCTCAACCATTGATAAACTAGTAGAGAGCGAATAAGGGGTAGTTCTTCTTGTGCTAACAAGAGATTTATGATATCATATATCCACCTCCTACATGAAAGTATTCATAGAGCCTTAAAAGACTCTAATCCTAGTTTGGGTCAAATTGTAATTATCTCATAATTATATATAACTCCATTATTAATCATTAATTGTAATAAATTCCCTAATTTACTCTTAATTAGTTGTCTCTCCTTTATCCTATAGTTTTCAATCAATTCTATTATGTGTGACCCTATAGGTTCAAACATACCTGGTTGTAAGCATTCGATACTAACTACAAATAGCATCTCAAATTAAAACTCGTTCTAATTTAGCTTGAATTAAAACTCTTTTAATTCTCTCTTTATAAAGAGCAATTAATATATTTATATTAATTTCATTCTTCAAACTTCTACTAATCATGAGTGACACCAAACTGTATATCATAATCAACCTCCGGATAGCACGAAAAAAAGAAAATGACTCATTCAGTCTACAATTGTCATGCAATTCAGTCCTTCTATCACACAATACCCCAATTGAATTACTAGGGTACAAAATTACTGTTAAACCCCTAATTCAATCTTATGCATTCAATCTTAGGGTTATGACTCTTAATAATCAATTAGAAACACTTTTCTAATTGTCATTCTGCCTTGGCCAAGGACTCCGTGAATCATATTCCTGAAGATCACATAAGACATTCTTCCTTTATTTACTAAGGGTGATAGATTCTATGTTCTACACTAATAAGTCTCCATGCATGTCTAACTATATCCAACAATACATATACAACTTATATGGTTAGTATATGAATAAGTTGTATAGTTAAAGTATAGAAGTTCATGCACAAGACAACCATAGTGTCTTAAGTCTAAAGATCAGTTGCATAACTATAACTTCAGGATTTAACATTGACTGATATGTAAAACTCCATATGAAAAATCCTACGTTAGTCCATGGTCACGTTCAATGTACTCGTTCTCTAACAAGCACCCACACACTTGCTTCAATGTCCCTACACTAGTGACTTGGACGAGTCACCTCATATCAAATAAAAGTAATCATAGTGTACGCTAGTCTATCTGAATTACATAGTGCCCACATAGTAATCCTATGACTAGGAACATTTAAGAGTTAAGTACTAATAAGTATAAGTCTCTCTTCTCAACTTCTTGACAAACTATCTTCTTAGCTTATACTCTATGGATTATATCATATATATTAAAATAAATAAAGCAGAAACATGATAAATAAACTCGTCCTTCTATTTAATTAAGTAATGAAAGTTGTTAGTACAACTCCAAAATATCATCTATATGATTGGTCTTAGAGCATACTACTAACACGCTTATCTAATTTTTGTAATAGAATTTATCAAAAGGAACTATAATTGTGAATTATCCATATAGCAACTAGACCGTAGATGTATGATAAATTACATTGTGCTCTTATGCCAATGACGCTCATCTCATTTTTCCAACAGATATTATCAAATGATGATGGTGCCCTCAATGTGAACAACTAAGAGATAGGAGTTCAAGTTCTCTATGAATAAGTTTTTTGTTGCTCTTACAACAACCAGTCCCACAGTACCATGTTAGTCAATAATAATCAATGAGAGAAGAAAAAAGAGAAAGAGAATTTTATTACGTCACATATAATCTGTAATGCATAATAATAAACTACGGCAACGCAAAATAAAATAAACAACTAAAGTACCCTTCACACTAATATGCTAAACTACTCTAACAACCCCATCCCCCTTAAACTCAGGATGTGATAGCACAAAATATCGAAAGTTTGCTAAGAGCGAGCTATAGTGTAAGATTTCGTAAAGAAATTCGCAAACAGGATAATAGAAAGAAGAAAGGGGAGAAGACATTGTCAAGCTGAAAATGATTGTGCACAAAGTGGCAATCAATCGAAATTTGTTTTGTATGCTCATGTAAGGCTGAGTTGTGAGCAATTTAAATATCACTCGTGTTGTCACAATACATAGGGATAGAAGTAGATAAAGAGATGTTATCAAAAAGCACCTATCATAACCAAACTATCTCAGTTGTGGTAGATGTCATAACACAATACTCAACTTCAATGGAGGAACAAGCAACAACCGTTTATTTCTTAATTTTTCAATAAGCGTTGTGCAGATGAATTAGCAGGTAACTCGATATTTCATAAAACTGGTAGAGTAGAAAGATTAGCTCTTCCTTCCTAGGCGGAAATCAAATAATGGATTAAAGAACAGTCGTAAGGCTGCATTGATCGAATAGATGACTAAGGCTTACAACTGATAGCAATTGAATCAACTGTTGATGCAATAGAAGTAGAAGGTCTTTCCGAAATATCCACTG